CCCAAAGGCAGAGGTCGGTTGGCAAAATTGCTTCTTGCTTGGGGGGAGGTCAGTCTTTGGTCTATTAAGGCCTTTACCTGATTGGATGAGGCCCACCCACATAACGGTGAGTAATCTGTTACTAAAAGGCCGCTGATTTACATGTTCATCTCATCCCAAAAACACTTTCACAGAAACATCCATGTAATACTTCACCAAATATTTGGGCACCATGGTCCAGCCAAAGGAACACATAAAATTAGCCATCACAACTTGCTATCTTCATTTTTTGTACTCATTAATCATTCACCTTTTCAGCTACCACCTTATTAATATACCCAAGGCAATGGATACTGCCAAACATTTCACTTCTTTTGCCTCCTTCCTATCTTGCTTCCTATCTATTTGCTGCTTTTTAGTTTTCTTTATGCCGGGTCTTCCTTTACATGCTTCTTTAATGATCCTGAGTGTTGTGCTTCCCAGACTTCCTGGGTCATATCATATACTAGTGGTATTAACTACCAAATTTATATCCTCCATTTAGCCCTCTCTTCTGAGTTTCATATATTCATTCATTTATTCACTGAAGGTATTAACAGCATACTATATATTTTATTGAATACTAAACACTACTGGGGTGTGTGGCAACCTCTAAAGTGACCCCCAAGATCCCTGCCTCCTGTTAATCATATCCCCCATTTAATCCCTTCCCTGGAATGTGAGCTTCTAATGAACAGAACACAGCAAAAGTGATGAGATGCCACTTCTGAGATTAGGTAACAAAAAGACTCTGGCTTCTGTCTTGTTCACCCTCTCCTGTCCTTTCCTGGCTCATTCTGTCTTTCTTAGAGTCCTCATGTAGGGGAAGCAAGCTGACATGCTGTTTGAAAAACCTTATGGTTTAGATAGTCAGTGGGAATTTGTTGTATGAGGCAGGGAGCTCAAATCTGGTGCTCTGTGAGAACCCAGAGGGGTGGGATGGGGTGGAAAGTGGGAGGGAGTGGACGTATGTACACCTATGGCTGATTCATGTTGATGTATGGGAGAAACCAACACAATATTGTAAAACGATTATCCTCCAATTACAAATAAATTAATTAAAAACAAAACAAAAGCTTTATGTAGAGGCTTGTATGCAAAGGAACTCAGTCTCCAGACAACAACCAGCAGGGACCTGAGACCTGCCACCAGTCACATGAGTAAGCGTGGAAGCAGGTCCCCTCCCAATTGAGTCTTGCTTGAATTGACTCCCACTCTGCTAGATAACTTTACTGCAGTCCTGTGAGAGACCCTGAGTCAGAGGCACTCAGCTAAGTTGCACCTGGATTTTTGACCCACAGAAATTATGAGAAAATAAATATTTGTGATTTTAGGCTGCTAAGTTTGGTATAATTTGGTTTACAGTGATTGATGACTAGGAGAGGACTACCCTGTATATTGTCACCCAGCTTATTTTACTTATATGCAGAGTACATCACGAGAAATGCCAGGCTAGACAAAACAAAAGCTGGAATCAAGATTGCCGGGAGAAATATCAGTAACCTCAGATATGCAGATGACACCATCCTAATGGCAGAAAGCAAAGAGGAACTAAAGCGCCTTTTGATGAAGGTGAAAGAGGAGAGTGAAAAAGCTGGCTTAAAACTCAACATTCAAAAAGGGAAGATCATGGCATCCAGTCATTACTTCATGGCAACATTGGAAACAGTGATAGACTGTTGGGCTCCAAATCACTGTGGATGGTGACTGCCCCCATGAAATTAAAAGACATTTGCTCTTTGGAAGAAAAGTAATGACAAATCTAGACAGTATATTAAAAAGCAGAGACATTACTTTGCTGACAAAGGTCTGTCTAGTCAAAGCTATGTTTTTTTCAGTAGGCATGTATGGATGTGAGAGTTGGACAATAAAGAAGACTGAGTGCCAAAAAATTGATGCTTTTGAACTTCGGTGCTGGAGAGGACTCTTGAGAATCCCTTGGACAGCAGGGAGATCAAACTAGTTAATCCTAAAGGAAATCAACCCTAAAGGAAAGGAATGTTCATTGAAGCTGAAGCTCCAATACTTTGGCTACATGACATGAAGAGCCGACTCATTGGAAAAGACCCTGATGCTGGGAAAGATTGACGGCAGGAGGAGAAGGAGACAACAGAGGATGAGATGACTGGATGGTACCACTGACTCAATGGACATGAGTTTGAGCAAACTCCAGGAGATGGTGAAGGACAGGGAAGCCTCGTGTGCTACAGTTCATGGGGTTCTAGAGTCGGACACAACGAAGTGACTCAACAACAAGAGGACTAACCAGGATTCAAAGTCAAATAAGAAAGAGCCCTGACATGCAACAATTCTGCAGACTATCAAGGGTGATAGAAAAGTGGCCATGATCACACCACAGTATAATAGGTGTTATAGAAACATACACAGTGAGTGATGGGAGCACAGAGAGAAGAGAATTTCCATCCTACTTGAAGACTGAAGGTTTTAACTGGCAGATTTTATTTTTGTCATTGAATGAGCAGGCTAAGTCATTTGATCAAAATGAGGAGAAATGGTGATGGGATACCTGAGGAGAAAATGAATTTTTAGAACCTCTACTGGAAAGAATAGGTGAAAGATTTAGAAGAGAAGCCAGTGATGATATCTAGGCAGTGAGGAGTTGGGTTAAGAATCATGGACTTGCAGAATCTCCAGTTGAGACTGGGGTTTACTTTTTTAAAATGTTTTAGGCAGGGAGGGGGGTTCAGGATGGGGAACACATGTAAATCCATGGCTGATTCATGTCAATGTATAACAAAAACCACTACAATATTGTAAAGTAATTAGCCTCCAACTAATAAAAATGAATGAAAAAAAAAGTTCTTGGCAATGTGTATATAAGATTACAGAAGTTGATGATTGGATTTGGGATCTCAGAGAAGATAAAACAGAAAAGCAAAGGACTGAGGAAGAAAAAGAGCAAGACAATTCTTATAGTCCCAGTGGAGTTTAGGATGAATAGAGAAAGTAAGACAATCAAAGCTGCTAAGAGTTTGGGGAAATGTCACCAAATCTGACCTCATACCAATCACTAGGGCCAAGGGAGTCAACGCTAGGTTTGACTTAAGCCTCGGTCATATACTCCAGTCCTGAGTTGGAAGGGACTTCTAGCTGAGAGTGGGAAAGAATGATTACGCAGAAGGAAATTCAGGTTTGCGACCATGAGAAGAGTGAATGGATGCTTTATAGCAGAGACCACTAGTTTCCTACAGTAGTGTTCATTTCTTCCAGAGTAAGGGAACCCCTAGTTTTTAGGGGTGGGGGAAGCACATAATGATAGTATTCATTAGTCTCCTGCAGCTAGGAATGGCCAGGCAACTAATAAGCTGATCAAAGGAATATGGACAGAAGTGGTGTGTGTGCCATTTCTGGACCATATCCTTAAAGGGAATGGGATGTCATTCCATTTCCCTTTATTCCTTTTCTGTCTGTTCAAATATGGTCGTGGTGGTGAGCCAACCTGAACCATAAGGAAGACATTCTATTCCTAGGGAGGGCGGAACAACAGGAGGAGTCTGTATTCCCTGGATGATGTCATGGATCCTTTGTCATCTTACATGAGGAATAATTAAACTATACTTTTTAAAAAGCCTCTTTTAATGTGGTTTTCTGTTACAAGTGACTGGACCTACCTTTCAACTAATTTAGATGTCCAGTAAAAAAGATATGCTGGGAATAAAAATGACCATAGCATAAGACAGAAAGTAGTAAGCAATAAACAGAGGCACAGATAAACAGGATACAGAGGAAAATCACTTCAAGCCAGACTGTAAACTTTCAAAAGAGATTAAAGTTTCTGATCAGTGACAGACCACAGACTGTCTATAGGTGGTGGAATGCAGACGGGGGAATGTGCCTCAACAGCTGATTATTCCAGACAGACCGGCGGCAGTGGTGATGGTGATGTGGCATGATAGTGACAACTGGCCCATGTATCCAGCTCACCCAAGCAACATTTGGACCTTGATATACTTATTTAAATTAGTTGTGGTTTGGGTTGATGCTTCTTAACAATGATCATAAAAATTAAGAAACAGGGGTGGAAGAAAGCCTAGCAACTAGGAAAACCTTCTGCTCAATGCACTTCAAAAGATAATAATAATTACAGTGATGCTAAGTCAGTCTTGTACATAGCCAGTAAAACCCAGGACTTCTAACTCCCCGGCCATTGAGAGCTGAAGACTTCTAGATACTTAATTTGTAAAGAATCCCTGTGAAGGTTTCCTCTCCAGCAAAATATTAACCTCAGGTTGCTATGTGCAATGCCCATCGGTTACTCTAGTGGACAGTGGTGGTGGTGGTGTAGTCGCTAAGTTGTGTCCAACTCTTGCAACCACATGGACTGTAGCCTGCCAGGGTCCTTCGTCCATAGGATTTCCCAGGCAAGACGATTGGGATGGGTTGCCATTTCCTTCTCCAGGGAATCTCAACCCAGGGATGGAACCTACACCTGCATTGCAAGGGGGTTCTTCTACCGCTGAGCCACGAGAGAAGTCCTGGTGGACAGACTGAGACAGAACACTTCCATCACGTCAGAAAGTTCTACAGGACAGCCCACAGATCTAAGAGAGATGTCTCTCTCTCCTGCCAATCCTCAATCTCGCCCTCAGTCTGTGCATAACCCAAACCCAAAGATTGGTCCCCAGGCTCTTCCACTTCCTAAAGAAGATTTAAAACTGGTAACAACAAAAGTCTTTTGGCCTAGTCCCGCTAAGAAGGAGACATGGTAATAGAACGCCAAGATTATTCCACAACAGTCAACAGAGCAAGTGGGCGGGAAAAAAAAAAAAGGAGCCGGGACCAGACGCGGGGGTGGAAGGAGAGGCAACGGGGCGGGGCTGAGCGCAGCGCGCTCGGGACTGACGCCTTCACGAGGCCGGGGGCGGGGCCGCGCGCCGCTGGGCGGGGCCGCGCGCGGCGGGCCAGGGAGGCGGGGGAGCCCGGCGGCCGGCGCGCGAGCCTAGCCGTGCGTGCTCACGTGACAGGTCCGCGAGGTCCCGCTCGCGCAGTCGTCTGGGCGAGCGAAGATGGCGGCCGAGAGGGAGCCTCCTCCGCTAGGGGACGGGAAACCCACCGACTTTGAAGAGCTGGAGGACGGAGAGGACCTGTTCACCAGCACTGTCTCCACCCTAGAGGTGAGACCGCGTCGCCGTGGGTGCTGCGCTCCGTTGCTGCCGCGCGTCTCACCTTTTGGTGCTTGCCCTGCCTCGACTTGACCCTTCGCGTCTCCCGCTCTCCTTAGCCCCCAGGTTTGCAAGGACCTGGATGGGGCGACACCTGTGACGCGGGCCCCACCTCGCGTACCTGTCACTGGGCTGGAGTTGGCCTGGGCGGCCAGGCCTGCTTAGGAGAGCGACCTGCGGGGCCGGGGGCCGACCTGATCCCCTGAGGGCCGAGAGCGGACAGAGCATCGAGTGTCCTTTCCCCGCTCAGCTGGCCCTCCTCGGTGTCACTTGCGCCTCTTCTTCCAGAGCTCTGAAGGTCCTGCCTTGGGTCTCAGCACACCTCTTCGCGCTGCCGGGCGACCTCCGCAGCCTCTTCCAAGAGGTGCTTGCCTTTCCCTTCCCAAGGGAGGGTGTGCCTCTGAAAAGGGAGAGCAGTGAAGAGAGCGCGCTGAGTGGCCGGGGCGCTGGAGGGACCGTGTGGATGCACTTTTCCCGGTCCTGGACCTTCAAGGACTGCTAGTTCCCCTTGAGGGAGGTACCTCTATTTTAGACTGTTAAATAGGTAAATGAATTTGGCCGGTTTTGCTTGTCTTTAGTTTCTAAGCGTTTTAAGGATCATAGTGTTGATAAAATACAAAGTTGAAGGGAGGGAGTAGTCCAGGAAACTGCTGGGCAGTGGGGGAGGTTTTTTTTTAAGTTACCAGGGGAGAAATAAGAGATCCTCACTCCTTTTTCCTCTTTTCTCGCATGATCAGCGATCTCTGAAGCTACGTGTTCCTGTTTTTGTCAAAGGAAACGCCCTCTATGAACTTAACTGTATTGGGCCTCCTGAATCTAGTTCATGTTTCAGTTGCTTTGCCTTTGATGAACACACACACCTGATAGCTGAACTTTAAGTGTGTGTATGTGTATTAAAATATAAGCAAATTTTCCAAAGAATTGTTTACCTTAGAATGTACTTCCTTATAAAATGCTTTTTTAATAAGCTTCCCTAGCTTGATCCACTCTGCACCAAATTAGTTGAAAATTATTGTAGAATATCCTTTATTTAGCTTTCAATTACGTGGAACTGGTAACTTCCCTGGTCAGTTTTCAGTACTGACCATATTCTGCTATTTGTATATGCATGTTCCTGGCCAAACCTCACCTCTCCTCAAGATTATAGGCTTCTTGGGGCTAGGGGTAGTACCTTGATCATCTTTGTGTTCCTCACAAGATATCGAACATTTGCAGTTTGCAAATATTTGTTGAATGAATTGTCAAAACCGGCATCTCCTAAGATTTAATAAAAATTATCTTGTACAGCAAATTACCTTTTGGGGGTAGTGTCCTTGTAGTCCTTTTTACTCTACAGCTACTTAACATGTTTTGAAAGGTAATGTCTATGCAAGATTGTAAGACCTGGATTCCCTGTGGGACTACAAAGATTTTCCACCAACAAGGATCAGAATAAACTTAAGATAGTGTAAACTAGAATATTGTGACCACTAAGCATTCTGTTTTATTGAGGTCTTTTTAAAGTTGAGTAAAAGGAACTACAGTTTCTAGTTCCCATTTGAATGGGACTGTGTAATAAGGTTGTGGGTTTTTTTTTCCCCCGCAGTTAAAGTCTATAGAATTCTGAGTGTGAATAAATGTATTGTGGTTAGTGCATTATGAAAGCTTTCTCAAATGTTGGTTTTGATTATTCATCTAAATCCTTTATTTCATGAGACTCAGGATATTTTAAAGTAGTATAACTGTGAGGCTTATAAATTCAGAATTGTTACTATTTTTTGCTTTTCAAGCTATTTTGGGAAGGGTACATAGCAATACTTATTAGTATACCAAAGCTGCTCTAAAGGAATATTTTTTCAGAATGTCACTTACAGAATAGTGCTTCTCAAACTTAAGTGTGGAGAAGAAACTATAGGATTCTTATTTAAAAGGCAGATACCTTTGCCTCACTAGAATCTGCATGTTTTCTAAGTGTTCTCTATCGTTGCATTTCAAACTTCATATGTCAGTTATCTGGAGATCTTGTTAAAGTGCAAATTTTGATTCTGTAGGGCTGGGATAAGCCAGTGTTCTGCATTGTAAACAAACTCTCATTGTGACATTGCTTCTAGTCCACAGACAAGGATGAGTTGCAAAGCTCCAGGTGATGCAGGCCATCTGCTTTGAATAGTTATTACCTAAGCTATAAATTATAATAGACTTAAAATTAACATCTTTCTATTTGAAAAAAAAAAGTTTTAAAAATGTTCATGTAGAAACTTTCTCCTTTGAGAGCATTGGGAGTAAAAAAATCTATTGAAATCCATATAAGCAAAAATTAAATTATACATAGCTTCAATATCGTAATTGTTAACCTTGCAATGACTGTACAACTTAGTGTATATGTATGCTGTGAGTATATTTTAATCCCAGTGTTAAAATCCTTTCTTTTCAAAATGAAGAACAGTCACATAAAGCCATGTTCAGTAGTTAAAGCATATTTGAAACATCTAGTTGTATGTTTCTGTTGTGACTGTGAAACTAAGTGGTGAAGGGCTGGCATAGGGGACCCGGAAGGAAATGAGGAAGGGAAAAAAATCTGGCAAAAGCTTGTTCTTTTTTGGTACCTGAGAAGCTTTAGATGGTTTTGCAATGCTGCCTTTAAAAAAAAAAAAATGATATAGTCCTAAGGTTAAGAGGTGCTTGCCCTAAAGTAGCATGAAATAGTAAGACTATACCTTTAAAAAAGGTATTTTTAAATAGGAAAACGAAATTTATGTATTACATGTCTGTTCTTTTCTTTCTTTTTTTATTTTTGGTTGCCCTGGATCGTTGTTGCTATGCGAGGGCGTTCTCTAGTTGTGACGAGTGGGGGCTCCTCTCTAGGTAGTAATCTCTGGGTGCGCTGGCTTCAGTACTTGGGGCTCCCAGGCTCTAGAGCAGAGGTCTAGTGGTTATGGCACACAGGTTTAGTTGCTCGGCAGCATGTGGAATCTTCCTGGATCAGGGATTGAACCCATGTCTCCTGCATTGGCAGGTGATTCTATCCACTGAGCCACCTAGATAGCCCTGTTCCTTTTCCTTTTTTTTTTTTTAAATTTTTGTTGGAGTAAATTAATAGTTGATTTGCAGTGTTCATTTTTTAGTTCATAGACCATACAGTTCACCCACTTAATATGTACAATTTTGTGGGCTTTGGTATATTCACAGATATTGCAACATTTTTATCACCTCAGAGAGAAACCCTGTACCCATTCCCTAAACCCCTCTGCCCTCAACCTTAGGCAACTACTAATTCACTTTCTATCTATGTATTCCCTATTCTGGACCTCATGTGAATGAAATCATGTAATATGTGGTCTTTTGTGACTGACTTTTTTCACTTAGCCTGATGTTTTCAGAGTCTATGTATGTATTCCTTTTTATGCCTGAATAACATTCCATTGTGTGGCTATACCATATTTTGTTTATCCATTTTGTCATTTGTTGGACATTTGCATTGTTTCCACATTTTGCATATTATTATTGCTCCATCATATGATGACTCTGCTTTTAATCAGTTGAGGAATTGCTGGAGTAGTTTCTCAAAATGGCCACACCATTTTACATTCCCACCAGCCATGTATGAGGGAACCAATTTTTCCACATCCTCACCAATACCTGTTGTTACTTGACCTTTTTTATTCTATCCATCATAATGCTTGAGAAATGGTATCTTAGTGTGGTTTTGATTATATTTTCTTTTTTTATGAATTTAAGTTTTTATTTGTGTATTTTACTGTAGTGCTGTGACAACAAAAATGACATCTGTATACGAGAACATACATTTATCAACAGTAAGATTGTATTTTCTTAAAGACTAAGTCTTTCTTAAGACTTAAGACTATATTAAAAGACTTTCTTAAAGGTTATATTTTCTTTTCATGTTCTTGTTGGCCATTTGTACATTATGAGGAAATGTCTATTCAGAGCCTTTGCTTATTTTTTAATTGGGTTGTCTTTTTATTTATAAGAATTTTTTTGTATATTCTAGATACAAGTTCTTTGTCAGATACATGATTTGCAAATGTCCTCCCATTCCATGAATTGTCTTTTCATTTCTTAATGGTGTCCTCTGAAGCACAAAGTTTTTAAAAATTTGATGAAGTTCAGTTCATCTGCTTTTTATTTGTTGCTCATGCTTTCAACATCATATAGAAGAATCCCCTACCCAATCCAAGATCATGACAGTTTCCTCTTAAGAGTTTTATAGTTTCAGCTTTGATTTGTTTTGAGTTAACATTTGTATATGGTATGAGAGAAACTTTTTTTTTTCTTTTTGCTTGTGGCAGTCCAGTTGTCACAGCACCGTTTGTTGAAAGACTGGTTCTCCATTGAATGGTCTTGGCACTCTGAAAATTGGTTGACTATAGATGTTTACACTTGGTTCTTGTACTAGCCTCTCATCTTAAGGTCAGCTGAAGTTAAGCTGAGTACCAGAGTTTCCCAAACACTGTCACATGATAGATTTATAGAATATTTCAAATGAAATTTCCAGATGGGTGGTTCACAGGTCTTAGAATTCCTTCCTCGCCATGTAACCCCATGCCTGCTCAGAAGATGCTGTACTTGGTTGATTTCAGTAAATACTTGACTCTTTACTCTCTACTGTACTTCTTAGATGATAGTGGGAGTACAAATATCAGCTAGATATCAGCAGATCTTTGAGGAAAGAAAATCTCTGGTGAAGAAGAAAGAGAAGTATAGAAAACTCAGATCCAAAGAGATTGTGACTATGTTTTGAAAACACACCAGTTTTCACTGAAAGTACCAGTGAACTGGGGGAGATTGTTAACTCCTATCAGCATTCCTGACACATAGCAGATGAACATAAATGTTTCTACTGGCTAGGAACAGCCACTGAGATGGTAATATTTAAGAGAGACTTTAAAGGGTGGAATGAAATTTTCAATGTAGGAAAATAGCAAATGTCACTTATGGTTCAGTCCGTATTC